TAGCTAGAAGCTGCATGAAGCAAAAAGCTAGCTAGAAGCTAAAAGTTGCAAAAAGCTGCTAGGTGCTCGGTATCAAAAACTAGCTAAAATTTAAAAGTCGCAAAAAGCTAGCTAGAAGCTAAAAGTAACAAAAGGCTACCTAAATCTAACAAAAAGTTGCTAGGTGCTCGGTATCGAAAGCTAGCTAAAATGTAAAAGTTGTAAAAAACTAGCTAGATGCTACAAGTAGCAAAAGGCTAGCTTAAAACTAAAAGATACAAAAATATCTAAATCTAACAAAAAGTTGCTAGGTGCTCGGTATCAAAAGCTAGCTAAAATTTAAAAGTTGCAAAAAACTATCTAGAAGCTACAAGTAGCAAGCAAAAGGCTGATTACAAGTAGCTGACTATTTGAAGTTGCACATATCAAAAAGCTAGCTAGAAGCTAAAAAGTACCAAAAGGCTACCTAAAAGTACCAAAAAGCTACCTAGATGCAAAGTATCAAAAGCTAGCTAAAATTTAAAAGTTGCAAAAAACTATCTAGAAGCTACAAGTAGCAAGCAAAAGGCTGATTACAAGTAGCTGACTATTTGAAGTTGCACATATCAAAAAGCTAGCTAGAAGCTAAAAAGTACCAAAAGGCTACCTAAAAGTACAAAAAAGTTACCTAGATGCTAAGTATCAAATGCTAGCTAAAATTTAAACATTGCAAAAAGCTAGCTACAGGCTAAAAGTAACAAAAGGCTAGCTTAAAACTAAAAGGTACAAAAGGCTAGCTAAAAGTACCAAAACGATAGCTAAGTGCTAAGTATCAAAAGCTAGCTAAAATTTAAAAGTTGCAAAAAGCTAGCTAGAAGCTACAAGTAACAAAAGGCTAGCTTAAAACTAAAAGGTACAAAAGGCTAGCTAAAAGTACCAAAACGATAGCTAAGTGCCAAGTATCAAAAGCTAGATATAATTTAAAAGTAGCAAAAAGCTAGCTAGAAGCTACAAGTAACAAGCAAAAGGCTGATTAAAAGTATCAGACTATTAACTAGAAGCTGTGCATATCAAACAGCTAGCTAGAAGCTACAAAGTACCAAAAGGCTACCTAAAAGTACCCAAAAGCTACCTAGACGCTAAGTATCAAAAGCTAGCTAAAATTTAAAAGTTGCAAAAAGCTAGCTAAAAGCTAAAAGTAGCAAAAGGCTAGTTTAAAACTTAAAGTTACAAAAGGCTAGCTACAAGTAGCACAGAAGTAGTAACATGCTAAAAGCTATAGGTAGAAAAATCCTGGCTAAAAGTAGCAGAATGATAGCTACAAACTAAAAGCAGCTAAAGAAGATTAAAGCAGCGCCTGAACGCAGGGTTCAAAGAGAACAATGCTTTTGAAGAAATGTAACAGACTTTAATGGAGTTTTAAGGGGACGTTTTCTCCAATTTAAAATTCTAAAAAATGACAAAATCTAAGCGCCTGAGCATCGAGCTCCTGAAAGAGCTGAACATTTTGAAGTAAAAGATCATTTATTGTTGAACCCACTGCATCGTGCTCCTACTTTAAAAATGAGGAGAATGCATTATTATTTTGGTCAACAGTTTAACATTGTTTAACACAACCCTTTTGTAATCCACACAAATGTCATGACTGCTTCACATCCCAGCCCCCCTCTGTTCTCCAAACTGGGCTGGTTCAACGTCCAGTTTCTGCTCAGCAACAAGGCTCCGGATTACAACCGGCTGCCGTGACAACCGCTGTCGGTCACACTCGCCATCATCTCTGCTGATCCCACTGCCTTTAAATGACGGACTCCAGGCTTTGCAGCAACAAATGACTCAAAGAAGAAACTCTGAATTGACAAATGCGTGAACACAAGCTGCAGGACGTTGTCTGCGCTCACTGGCTGGGGTTAGACACCGTTCACGTGGGGGAGTGGGGGTCTTGTGGTATGTTAACATGGCAGATGGGAAATGCACGGACATGACGTTGGTAGAAAAATAATTAACCGACTGGATGAATGATGATGAGGCTTACCGACACAAAACCAGGTGATTACTTTATCTGGGGCAACAGCAAGTCCTGCTTCAAGCTCTTACGTGAACTGGTGTTTCACTCAAACCTGCACTTACCGTTAGTTAAAAAAAAGACACTTTTGAGCAAACCACAAAATTATAGGACCAAAAAAAAAGAGAGAGAGAGAAGCCTAAATTATTCCAAATATACAACCCAAGAAGCTAATGGTGAAAAGCACGGTGGTAAAGGTTTCTCCTGAGTGCTGACTTGCTGGTTTTACGGTGTGAAAATTGGTTCCATCTCAGTGCTGAGAAATAATGGCTCATTTTTCCAGATAGAACTTGATGGGAAGCACAAAAAGGGGCTTGGAACAGAGGTGCAAAAAGCAGAAGGACTCCCCTTCTGTAGCACTCAGGGGACAGAAGCAGAAACAAACACACAGCGCAGGCGAACGAGCAGCTAAAGGTGGCAACTCACTGGGCTTCGGCTGTTCAAGACTACCCAGAAACCCTAAAATGCAGGAAAACAGGCAGAATGTTAGCTCTGTTCTCGATGAATTCTGAGCGTTTGCAACCTGCGAGCCTCGAGGTCGAGTTTTGAGCGGTATACGGTTTATTTTCGAATTTGCGGCTTGAACTGTATTCTAGGCAGAGAACGTTATCCGTGTTAGCTTTTGTTCGGCATTAACTGTGGTCCTAATCCAGGGCCCCCGAAACATAAATTTGGTCAGTTTTTATATTTTGGGGTCATCAGATATGAGCATTTTACTTTAGGCTAGTTTAATAAACAAAAACAATCCAACTTGAACGCGTATTTAAAAGAAATTGGAGTGATATTCAAGTAAAAAAGTTGCCTGTAATTAATGCCTTTTACACAATCACTGCTGACACGTTTTGATTTTGGTGATTTTTTTCCATGAAATGTTAACGGACAGTTGCTGATGTCACGAACTAACTTTTAAAACGTCTACACAAACTCTTCATTTCTTCATCCTGCAACTCTTTTTGGTCCAGACTCAAAGTAAATGTAATTATTTCGTCCAGAGTTCAGACCCAAACTTTGACGGACGCCACTTTTATTTGGGGTCAAAATATTAATCATATTTTATTGTCTGAATGTTTATGAAGCGTTCACTCTATTGTGATCAATTTCTCTTCCATACATTGTTCAGCATCTTTCTCATCCCACAACTTTTGCACCATTTCAACTAATCATAAATGAAAACGTTCAGCTCTTTCAGGACAAACCTGCTCGGACTTTTGGTATTGGTGCAACTTTAGCTTTTTGAACTATTTAGCCTTTTCTGCCACTTTTTTCTCATAAAAAATGAATTGAGCTCATTTTACATCCTTCAGATCTTTAGATGCGTTTACAACCTTTTACTGCTCCTTTCACATTTTGTTCTGCTTCAGCTTCTTTCAGCTTCCTTTTGCAAATGTAAACATTTTTCAAGCTAATTTCAGCTGTTTAGTGCCCCTTCCAGATTACTTCCGCTAACTACAACATTTTTGTGCTTCTTCTAACTTATTTCTGCTAATTTCAGCGTTTCAGCTTTTTCTGCTATTTCAGCAAGTATTTAGCCATTTTTATGCTAATTTTAGCTTTTTCAGCTAATTCCCCATTTGTTGCACTCATTCAGCCTGATTCAACAAAAATGTGCTCTCTCCACTTCCTTCTGTTAATTTAAGCTTCGTGCTGCTACTTTTCAGCAATTTTTTTTTGCTAATTTTGGCTTTTTTCAGATAATTTCCACTTTTGTGCTAATTTTTTGCTTCTTTAGGCCTAATTGGGAAAGCGTGTCCTTTCTGCACTCTTCTGCTAATTTAAGCTTGTTCTACTTTTTCAGCTCTGTTTTTTTTAAGCTAATTTCAGCAGTTTTCTGATAAATTCAAGTTTTTTGTGGTAATTTCTGCTACTTTCAACCTAATTAATTTTATTCAGTTAATTTCAGCTTGTTAGGCTCCTTTCAGCTTATTTCTGCTTGTTTCATTTATTTCAACTAGTATTTAGCTGTTTTTATGCCAATTTTAGCTTTTTCAGCTAATTCCACAGTTTTTGCACTCCTTTCAACTTTTTTCAGCCTAATTCAACAAAAATGTACTCTCTCCACTTCTGGTAATTTAAGCTTTTTCTGCCTTTTTCGCTACTTTTCAGCAGTTTTTGCTTATTTCAGATAATTTACATCATTTTGAACTCATTGCTGCTATTTTCAGCCTAATTAATTTATGCTAGTTTCAGCTTTATCTGCTCTTCCAGCTACTATTTACATATTTTGATTCTGTTTTAAGCTTTTTCAGGTCATTCCATTTTTGTAGCTCGTTTCAGCTGTTTTCACTTTCTTCTGGTAGTTTAAGCATCTTTCTGCCTTTTAGCTAATTTTCAGCAATTTTTTGCTAATTTCCAAATTTTTGTGCTCACTTCTCTTCATTTCAACCTAATTCAGCAAATATGTAATTTCTGCTTTCTTCTGCTAAGTTTGGCTTGTTCTTTCATTTCAGCAAGTTTTTTTTTTAGCCAATTTCAGCTGTTTTTCAGCAAGTTCTTCTGCAATAAGTATTCACACTGCAATTTTGCAGGAAATGCAGTTTCTCCAGTTGCTTTTGTGTCCTGAACTATTGTTGCAGTTTGTTGCTTCTGTGTGCAGCACTAGTTTGTCCATGACAGTTGGTTTTAAAGAGCCGTGTAAATAAATTTGATTAGATTTTAAAAATTAAAGATTGCAGGCCTCTGTGACTACAGTGAAGTTTGAGAACCCTCATGAACATTTCCACACACGTTGCTTTAGACGCCAGCAGTCGCAGCCCAGCCTACAACTCTACAGACACACATTTGCGTTAAGCAGCCTGCAGGTGGGACTAGAAGGGGTGGGGGTGGGGGTTACAAAAGGTGCCAGCAGCTTTAGCCAAGCTGGTTACCTTCAAAGGCTCGTGCTGCGTCAACCAGGTGGGACCAGTCCAGGTCCGAGGCAGTGTCTGGGAGGGGCATGAGGCCCGGGTCGCTGAACTTGGACCTGTCCGCCAAGGAGCCGTCAGAGAACCAAAACTCACCTGCAGAGACAGGCAGGTATTCCATTCAGTGTCTGGGCCCAGCCTGAGCTCACGGCTGAGCTTTGGCATCCCCAGAAGTGTGCAGCAGACAAAAGGAGTTGGATTGTGGGGGGTGAGAGTATGGAGGAGCATAGAAGGGAGGGAAAAAGCAAGGGGTTCATCTGAACGACTCATCTGCGGCTACAACAAACTTGTTAAAACAAAACCCGTTTTTATCATTCTGTCCCAAACGAGGTCTCAGCTCTGACCTGAATGCCTCCCACAGGTGAAAACTTTCACTCGTGCCGACTAAAAGTTGTGAATCTGCGTGACGGCACGATGGGCTCAAGTCACATCAAACCAACGTCTGCGTGAAGCGCTTGAAAGACCATTTCTGAAGGGCGATAAATGACTTGTCTAAGTAAATGTCTTCTTGTTTCAATCAATATCCCCTTTTCCTTCCCTTCGTCCCCTCTCACCCTTCCTTCCTCTCAGAGAGGCAGAATAAACAAGTCCTCGTTCGGCGGAGGCATTTAGAAAAGCACGAGCGAGGAGGCAGAGAAAGAGCGCTTGAGGAGACGCTGACATTTTCCTTTCAATTTACCGACATTCTTGGAGCCCGAGTGATTCACTGCTTACCAAATTGGGCTGTTTCAGAGAGGGGAAAGAGAGCGAGTGTGTCCTAAACTATCCTTCAAAACAATCGAGAACCCATCAGGTTGACAGCCAGACGAGGCTGGAGAGAAAAGCCATCTTCCCAAAGCCCATCTTCCATCTAATGATGGCAGTAAGGAGGTGAGGAGCGGTATGGAAATGAGACTGGAGGGACAGGAAGGGTAGGCAGGCAGGGAGTGAGTGAATGAAACATCACACATGACAAACTGTAGAACCCCACGTGGAAAGGAGCCATCAGAGATCTTAAAGAGCAGACGGGACCCGTCACACTTCTCCTTCAGCAGAATATATTGTGAGGAGTCAGAGGAGCGGTGGCCATCAGCGACAGGTGTCTGCAGACGGAGGAGCCTTCAAAGGAGCAGGCAGCCCCGTTTCCATCCGTTGGCTTCATAGAGTGTTGAAGTCCGTTCAGTTGGAATAACGCCACCAGCAGAGAACCACTAGCTTTTCAAATAGATATCTACAACTCCACTCATGAAACGGTTGAGATGTTGCATAAAATGTGAATGCAAAGGACTGAAAATCACAAAAACAATTTTTAATTCACATCCAACGTTTAGACTACCTTGCACCTTTGTATGGAAACATTAAGGTGATTTTGAATTTTTATGGCAGCAACACCTCTCAAAACCCCCCTGCGAAGCACTAGAGAGGTTAAATCAGGTCATCTGGACAGTTTCTTTTTGAGAGAAACGTTTCATCTTTCATCCGGAAGACGTCGCCAGTCTGAGGCCTGCCAACCAGATCTGTCTTATAAATAGCACCTCATTGGTGCGTTCCAAGCCAGACCTCTGTTGGATTCCAAGAAACTGGTTTTCACATGCAAAAAGGGACCATCCATCCAAGATCATCACGTATAATCAAATGTTTCAGGCCAGATGGCTACACCTCGGTGAGGGCCATTTATAAGACAGACCTCAGACTGATGAAGTCTTTCAGATGAAAGATGAAACATTTCCCTCAAAAAGAAACTGTCCAGATGACCTGATTTAACCTTTTTCTATTTATCTACCGGGATGATTGAGCTTACAAACCTTCTTTCCTCCCGTCTTCTTTGAAAAGCAGTCTGTAAACGTCCAGGACCTGAGGACACCAGCTGTTGGAGGTTTTGTCAGGATTGTTGTTTCATTCTGGTCTGATGGACGATTCTGATGTTAAACCAGTCTGACACATTCTTTGCAGATTTGTAACGTTTGTCGTTTTAAAACTTGTAGATAATTTTCTGCATTGATGGAGCCTTTCCAGATGTGCAAGCTGCAGAGACACCAATGTACACCCATACCATCAGAGAGGCAGGCTTTTGAACTGTGTGCTGATGAAAGGCCACGTGGTCCCATCCTCCATAGCACAAACATTACGGCACCCATGGTTTCCAAAAGGATCTTCAGATTTGGATCAATCTGACCACAGAACAGTTCTGGACTTCACCTCTGTCCATTTTAAACGAGCTCTGGTCCAGAGGAGACGGCAGTGGTTCTGGATGGTGTTCACATCTGGCTTCTTCTTTGTCTGATAGAGCTTTAAGCATCATTTATGAACTGTGTTTACAGACCATGACCTGTGGAAGAGTTCCTGAGCCCAGAACAGAACCAGACCTGGTTTTAATGCAGTGGCCCTGAGGGCCAAAGATCACGACCATCAATTATTGACCTTCAGCCTCGTCCTCTGAACTCAGATTTCAACAGATTCTTGAAATCTGCTGATGAGATTACGAACTGAAGGTGGTGGGAAACTGAAAAACGTAATTTTTCTGTCACAGAACATCGTTTTGAAATTGTTCCATCCAGATGTTTGCCAACGGGTGAACCTCTGCCCATCTTTACTTCTGAGCTTCAGCTTCTCTAGAACTCTTTTTATACCCAGTCCTCTATCGACCTGTTGATAATTAACCTAATTACTGTAGTTAAAAATGTTTCTCTAGAAGTTTCTTACTCGTATCACTCACTTGTACATTTGTTGTTCGTCAACATTTGAGGTTTTGCTGCCATTAAATTCAAAACTGCAAATATTTTCTCCTAAAATTGTACCGTTTTTTTGGCTTAATCATTTAAAATGTTGGTTTCATTGTGAATAAAATATGGGTTTATGAGATTCCCAAGTCAGGGCATCCTTTTTATTTGTATTTTACACAACAACCCAACTTCCGCAGAAGTAGTAGATCATGGCTTTTATCTGGTGCCAAAAAACGGATAAAACCATAAGAGCAACGTGCTGAGGAAGTGTCTCTATGAATAATCTGGATTTGTTAATTTGAAAACAGCCTCTGCTCTGCGTTTACTCAAGAACAGAAGAAACCGAACTCTTGTTCTTTTTATATTTACAGTATTTTTTGGTTGTACTCACTCCGCAGGTTGGACGCTCCCTGGTTGTGGACCATGCGAGGAGGCAGCGTGCTGTGGTAAGGTGGTGTGGTGCTGAACAGGATGTCGTTGGGCATGGCTTGGTCCAGCATGGAGCTGTGTGAGCTGCCGTATGATGAGGCTTTACGGTTGCTGCACACGCTCTCGTCCGACAACGTCCGGTACAGCGAGCGTCTCGGTGACAAACTGCCTGCTGCTAACACCTGCAGGAGAAGGATGACAATTTGTCAAGACGCAGGAGAAAGATTGATCTTCGGTTCTGACAAAAGACTCCTGTCTGCGCTGCCTTTCTTGGGCACAGCGGGTTCACAAGAGCAGGCAAGAGGGTGGTTAAGACAGGGACATCATGGAGCCGTGTCAGGAATCAATTACAGTCTTTGCTCTCAGGAAGACACGACTGATTGAGCCCAGCTGGAGAGAGTCTGACAGAGTGGGAGAAACAAGGGACAGGGCTGGTGGAGGTGCTGACAGAGGTCACTGCCCTGCGGCTACTGAGCTTAATGCAAGAAGCCACAGACTGCAGAGAAGAACAGACGGTACAAAAACCTAACTGCAGGAAAAATACAGGTAGGAACTCACCGGGCTACGACTGCTGGGGACCGTTTGACCGGTGGCATTTGAAATGGAGTCTCCAAATGCTCAATTTCCTCACACAAGTTGCACTTGTTGCCTCGTCACTTGAGTTTTGAACATGCTCAGACAATTTGAGGGCTCGATTTCCTCAAACCCGTCAAAATTTTGTTTCTGTAATTTCTAGAGCACTACAGACATATTTTGACACATGCACTGGAGCTCTGACAGAAAACTGAATGTCCAGGTCTAAAACCTGTTAGTTATTTAGAAAACGGATCCAAATATTCATTTCAGCAGTGTACGCCAGTAAATCATAATTATAAATCTTCAGTCTTTACACATGTAAGGCCCAAAACATTGTTTTTAAAATTAAAGCGAATTGTATTATGATGGTCAGAAATTGGCCCCATAGCTTACTGTCCGCCTGGTCACAAATAGGGGTGTCAATCAGCAGCTTTACCACGATACAATATTATACTGATTTGTTTGTATGACGATACAATTTTTCTCGATATCACAAAGTCTGTCACGATACGATTTCGATTCCATTCGATTCACAAGTCTGCGGTCGATATATTGCGATATCAAATGCCCAGTCACAAACAGGATCAGAGAGACTGGAATTAAAAAAAAATCACCAATTTTCTCACAATTTTAAAGCCCAACAGTTCCATCCCAGTGAGAAATTACTGTGCACGACGAGTCGAAAAACACCCCTGAAATGCACTGCAGAAATTTACAACGTAAGTACACAAGATACAAAATCTGATTTCAATGCGGCAGCTGGCGAACCACGTGGACATCAGATTTCTCAGGTCTTTAGGGCAGTTTTTAAACTTATTGTCGCAGTAACATATTCGTAAGTTTATTTCCACAGGAGCACATGCTATGTTAAAGGTAAAAGCAAAGTTAGGATGGACTTCCACATGCAGTTCAATTAAAAATACCAGAAAACCCTAAATCCATGGTTGTAGCGCTCATTGTATTTGATTCAGTTAAGAGAGCACTGCAGTCAAGGGTACAGAGACAGAACGCTTGACAACACTTAAAACATGCAGATACAACTTTTGGAGGACCACAGCTGGTTCAAGCTATATTTTATATGTTCAAGTTAAAAAGTTAGAATATAAAACACTTCTTCTTTCGGCTTTTCCCTCTTCAGGGGTCGCACACAGCGAGTCATCCTCCATCTCACCCTGTCCTCACTCCAACTACCTCCATGTCCTCTCTATCTGCATCCATATTTCTCCTCTTTGTCTTTTTCATGGCAGCTGTATTTCTAACATCCTTCTACCAATATACCCACAGTCCCTCCTCTGGACATGTCCAAACCATCTCAGTGTGTCCTCTCTAACTTTATCTCCCAGTTGTTCAACCTGTGCTGTACCTCTGATGATCTCATTCCTAATCTTCTCCATCCTTGTCACTCCTAAGAAGAACCTCAACATCTTCATTTCTGCCACTTCCAGTTCTGTCTCCTGTCTTTTTGTCCATGTCTCTGTCTCCAGACCATACAACTTAGCTGGTCTCACCACTGTCTTGTAAACTTTTCCTTTGACCTTTGCCGACACCCTTTTGTCACAAATCCCTCCTGAAACTTTTCTCCATCACTCCATCCTGTCTGGACTCTCTTCTTCACCTCTTTACCACATTCCCCATTTTCCTGGATAGTGGACCCCAAGTCCTTGAAGTCCTGCACCTTTGTGACCTCTGCTCCTTGTAGCCTCACTGTTCCACCTCCTCCCTCTCATTCACACACATGTACTCTGTCTTACTACGACTGACTTTCATTCCTCTTCTTTCAAGTGCATACCTCCACCTCTCCAAGTTCTCTTCCACCTGTTCCCTGCTCTCACCAAGATCACAATGTCATCTGCAAACATCACAGTCAACGGGGATTCTTGTCTGACCTCATCCGTTAGTCGGTCCATCACCAGAGCAAACAAGAAGGGGCTCAAAGCAGATCCTTGATGCACTCCCACCTCCACCTTGAAGCTTTCTGTCACTCCTACAGCACATCTCACCACTGTCCTGCTGTCCTCACATGTCCTGCACCAGTCTAACATACTTCTCTGCCACTCCAGATTTCCTCATGCAACACCACACCACCTCCCTCGGCACCCTGTCAGATACTTTTTCTAAATCCACAAAGACACAATGGAGTCCTTTCCCACTATAGAATATAAAACACTATTAAATGATAGATGCAGGTTCTCCTTTTCAGCTTATAATTCATTCTGGTTCCGGTTGTTTTCTGGCAGTCGTTTGAGCCATATTTTATGCCGTAAGTCATGTCCTAGTCAAAGATAACGAAACTCATCTGTACTGACTAAATTCTCAAACTGCCAAACGAACCAGATGAGATCAGTGATGATCCAGAATCAGAGCGTTTATCTTGGATCTTTAAGGGATTCACAAACTGCACATTTATCTTAAGAGTGTGATGGAGTAAATATTGATGGTAGGCTTCTGGAGTATCTGTTATGGCTAGGTTTGGATATCTATATCCTGGTCAGTTGACTTGCTTCAGCCACATAGATCAGTGTACGCTCTCTTTTGTGTTTGTTCGTGGAGGGTTCGAGTTTTATTGCTGCTGGATGTGGGAATGGATAAATGCTCCTACATCCGTTCCCACTCTAACCCGAACCTTGTGTGCGCTATTCAAACTGCATCCACAGGCCGCTGGACGTCGTGTTGCTCCCGATGCTGTAGTTAGTGGTACAGAAACAGATTTTTTGTTGTGGGATCAGTCAGGAAGCTCACTTAATTTAGATGTTACACACAATGCTAGAAAATTAGCATCATTGTGCAATTCACAGGACACCTCTGTAGAGATACTTGTTTTTCATGGCTGCGGTCAGAGTTTTGACAGAGGATCCTCTGTTTAAACACACAAACCCACAAAGACCAGCCCCATCCATCATTGTCCCATTTGGCTTACATAAATACAGCCGGAGTGACATCAAAAGTAGCCACAAATGATACATGAAGCAGCTGTGCAGATGGGTAAACGTCTGCCTTTTGCTTCCCAGCTATAACCCACATTGGACCGCTATCTCCACAAGCCAACACCCAGCTGTCTCAGTTTCAAAGACCGATCCCCCACAGATCCCACAGTGAGAATTTAACAAACAGCTACTCTGTCTTTAGAGCAGCGATACATAAACAGCCTCCTTAAACTCAACACAGTTTCCTCTTACTGCAAGTTTTCCAGCCCAGCTTTACAACCCAATAAGGTTCGTGCTCATCAGAACATCTTTAAAAATAATTTTCTGCTTTTATATGAAGCAAAAAATAGCTCCAGTAAAAATAAAAAACACCCTTTCCAAGAGACCCTAATATTTTGCGGAGCACCATCTAGTCATTACATCCCCATCAACCAGCCAGTGTTCAACTGAACCTGCAGTGCAAAACGTCAAGAGGAGATTTTAATAAAACCTACAGGATTACCAGTTATTCAAGTGTCTAAATCCACTTCAGCTGGAAGCAGTTTGCAGCCCAACTGTGCTGTTAGATCTTTAAATTTCTTTGTACAGTTGCAACCTTCTTATCAGCCATGCCAGCACCGAGACATCCACGTAGGTTGTGCCCGATTTCCCTTTTTGTATCTCAAAGAGAACTAGCAGAGCAACCAGCATGGGACCCCCTTTGACGAGCCTCTTGGGAGGATGTTTTGGACAATTCAGGAGCTTTTATTCTTTCCTACTGAAGGCTCAAAAGTGGGATGCTTTGAGAGGCTAAGCCGTGAGCGGTCTTTCCTTTACGTCAGCAACACAATGATTCGTGGATATGTGGAAGGGGCATCTGGGTGAACACTGGCTGGCAACAAAGTCTGGCATTTGGTGACTCCTTTAAAAAAAAGAAACACCTAGAATTCCCTAAAGGAATGCATACTACCCACCATCTTTTACATCAGAGCGTTAAACAATCTTTTAATGACAACGGGTGGCCGTTTTGGTGAATATGTGCAATCTCAAGCAATATTGTGAGATCCTTTAGTGCTCAAAGTATGCATTGAGAGTGACTCTCAGCTACTACCACATCAAAGTTTTGCTCAACGTCTGTACATTTGACTAACTTATAGCCAATTTGGTGTTTGCTCAGATTGTTTGCCTATGGTCGCCATCTTGAAATATGGTGATTCCAAAAGTTAAGGAGTTGTACGTGTGCATTGATTAGGAATTATGACTGTTTGATTTAACATCAAAGTGGTTAGTGAGATATTTTGCTAACAGACTAGCATAGGAGCAGCACGGTGATGCAGTTTGTAGAGTTGCCGTCTCTCAGCGAGCAGGTCGCCATTATAAATCCCAGCACGGGGGCCTTTCTAGATGGAGCTTGCATGTTCTCTCCATGCATGCGTGTACTCCAGTTTCCTCCCACAGACCAAAAACATGCATGTTAGACTGATTGGTAACTCTAAATTGTCCCTAGGTGTGAGTGAGAGAGTGAATTTTTTTTTTGTCTCGTTTGTCTCTGTGGACTTGCAACCTGCCCCTCGCACAGTGACTGCAGGATATGGACACCAGTGACCCCTGTAATCTGAAAAGGAAGACGCAGGTAAAGAAGATGGATGGACTAGCATCGTTAACACAACAGTTAATGATAAAGTTTTCAGCATAGCTGTATAACGGTTGGCGTTTGTGTCACACACACCAAGTTTTAGCTCAATATCTGTAAGATTAACTCAGTTGTAGCAAGCTTTGTGTTTGCTAACGTCAACTTAGCTTTGGCAGCTTTCTTGAATTAGGTCGACACCAAAAAGGTTTGTGCTTGTACGTCCAATTATTACTTTTCGGGAAACTAATGCAACAAACACACACTTTTAGCTTTTAGGCAGCGGGCGATAATTAACCTTTACTGTATCCTTTGTTTTGGCACTTTATAGATTAAATAAGTCTGACTATATTGTGTAAATGTGAAATCAATCAGCCTTCTATCAAACACCCTCATTTTTGTAATTTGATTCTTTTATGTGCCAGACATCCAGTCCAAGTAGAGCTGCTCTCAGAGAACAAAACTATGTTCTCTTTGGGACCATACTCTATGTGTAAATGGTTGGAGCGCTTGGCACCGTTCCTTCCCTGATGCACTGTTCCTGTAGAATGTTTCTCCATGTGCTATATTATCAGACAAAGGCCATTACCACAAAAACCCCACTGGTCTTTGAATAAACAATCAACACCATGCTTCCTTGTCCAGGTCACTGTCTTTTCCTTCTCCACAGGAAACAAAATACAACCAAATGACGGTGCGTGTCCTAGACAGGTGGTAGAGCTGCTCGGGTGTCTTAGAAGTGCCACGTTTTACTGAGCTGCAAGCCAAGAGAACAAAAGCTGTGCAAACAAATCAGTGCACCGAGCCGATTCGTGTAGGAGACGAGGTTTGCCTGTGCCAGAGGACACAGCTAAGGGAGTGGAGTGCATGTGTATTAGGACTGAGCAGCATCCAAAAATAACTCATTTGTCCATCTCCTGGGCCCTTTCCTGGTAGATAATGGATGGGGGATGGCGAGGGGGAACTGGAGATGCAATTAATAGTGTGTAAGGGCGAGGGACATCAAACATCAATGCACTCTCTGCAACTTCCTGTCTTTAATCCATGACATCCCAGCTGAGTAGACTCAGGTCCCTTTACAAATTAAATTAAGTAAAAACAGTGGGGACCCAAAAGGTTAGGCGTTGGCAGAGAGGAAACCTATCAGCTGCGGACCAGAGAAGCAGAAGCAGCTGATGGAGAGCAGATGGATTTCCTTCTTTTATCGCAGTATGAGGCTATCTTTTCTATCTCAGTGTGAGAAAATGGCCTTACGGTTCGTCGTGGACTTTTAATATTATAATGTAATAATACAGTAACAGTTGCTTCTTCAGAGATTTATTAGGTTTCTCTGTTTTGCATAAGCTCATGAATATTTTGTGTCTAAGACCAGTCAATCAAGCCAAGTCAAATTTTCCAAGTACTGTATTTTCCGCTGTACCCGTCACTAGAGATGCACCGACTCGATACCGATATCGGTATTGATCCCGACATCGAAAAACTTCTGGATCGGGTATTTGTGACAATGTGGCTGATCCATTCACTCTAATATCCTTTATCAAATGTGTTGAGTTCAGATAATCTAAATCATCAGAAAAATTGAACACAACTGTAGATTATCTGCATACTTTTTTAGAAAGATTAAAAATCAATAAAACTGGACCGAAGACTGAGCCTTGAGGCACACCACAAGTAACACCCACATGGTCAGAGTTAAAACCATCACTGATCTTACCTTCCGGTTCTTTTCTTCTCTTGGGGGGCTGTCCGGCAGCATCATCTTACAAAATTCTTCTTTTGAAAGTCGCTGCAGTGACTTTCCATCTCGATCAGCAGCCTGGAGCCGGCAGGCTGCCTCTTGAGCATACAGCTGCCTGTGAACAATATAACGGAAACAGAAGATCACAGATCATTTCTAGGGTCACTCGCACCACTTCTTAGAAGGGAAGCAGAGTTCAAGAGGGAGGATCCGTGTTAGCATGCCATGATCAGGAACCGACACACTTCATACCTGTCAGACACATGGGGTGGCAGGGATGGGGAAGAAAACAGGCAGGGAGTTCAATTTCAAAGCCACCGTGTCCCAGATAATTGTGCCAAAACCATGAATAAAGAGACTGCAAGGAATGCAGCTAAGCACAGTGAGGGTTGGGGAAAAAAACAAGAATTTTGAGCAGAGACCATCACAGACCAAAGGCGTGCTCACAAAACAACAGAGGAAGACATGAAAGCTGTTCAACAGGGATTGGAGGAGGATCCACAAGAGGTGACACGCTTCCTTGGCACTGGTGGTCAACTGGTTTTGTTTGAGAAGATCAAAATGATTCGGAGTGTTGGGCGTTCATGGAGGAGGGCACAGGGCACAGATGATGTGACCGACCTGGCTGGTAATGTTGCGTGGCTGTGAAACCTCTGCTTTAAGTGAGCAGCCTGAGCTGAGCATGCCGAGTGCTGTTGGCAGGGCGTGAGAAGGCCGCAGGGACATTTGTTAAGACGGCTAGACGATGGGACAGCCTGTCTGCCATGGTTAACTAGAGACACTATTACTGAGAGTTGCACTCTTTTAGGCTTTTAACACCATGGCAACTAAGCCCTAAATACATAAAGTAATAGTCAAAACAGATTCTGATTGTTAAAGTGGCATATCATTACAAGTACTCCATGATTTATTAGCATTAATGCATTTTTTAAAATTATTGTCCAGAAGTGCATTCATTTTCTCTACCTCTACAATGATAATAAAACCACAGCTGAGTAATGAGGCATGGCTTGTCGCTGCAGAATTTCTCAAAACTAAATAAATAAATAAAATAAAGTAGATAGTACGCAGAATGTGTATACGAGTTATTGACGACACACTAGGCCATGATCAGAGGTAGTAAACACCACTTAAACAGCAACACACTAGAATGAGTTTATGCTAACAAAGCAGTAGTATGTGCCGCCATCTTGGTAGGTGCTACCTGACGTCTTTAGTTACTGCCATCATAGCAGAAGATCAATAATATCTGAGGAAAGAAAAGCTGTTTTAATTGTAGGAATCTGTTTTAATGTATTTATATATATATATATATATATATATATATTAAATACTGGTCTAGTACAATGCATTATCAAAGCAGGGGCTAACGATCTCTACATACCAGACAGTTATAATTACTGTAAAGCAAGGAACTGAGGGATAGCGTCAGCTAACTGACAATATATCATGTTTATTTGTTGCACATTTTCATGTTAATGCTCGACAGGGCTTAGTGGGAGGCCCCTGTGTTCACAACACGCCTGCTGTATGTTTTTTTTTATTTAAGTTAAGTAAAGATATTAACTTGTTTTGGACTAATGACAACATACAACACATTAACAATGTACAGCTTTGACATGTAAAACATACAGTGAAAGATGAAGCACTTAACAAGATGGTGGACACAAATTTCGTCTCGTGTTTTCAATGGCTGTTTAAGTGAGTTTCTGTTTCAGCGGAAAGTCGAGCGCATATCAACAGATTCTGAAGCTTTTTTAAATTTAGTTTGTCACATTTTTTTATTCCTCACACAGCGAGACTTCGAGTTGCGTCGAGTCCGATCTCACTTGATTTAGTTTGACTGTGACGTTCCCAAATCCATGATGGATGTTCCTGTAGATAAACCAAGCGGTGACAGCACTTCAACTGGTATGATTTTATTTCCAGTATATTTCGGTTTTAATTGTTCAATTTGATGGAACTCCGTGGGGGTCTGGTAAAATCGCCAAGTTGCACCAACACATTCTCATAATGCAACCAAGCAATTGCCTTATGCGCAACTTCTTGCATGCACACGACCCTGACTGCACTTATGTACATATTAATATTGGCTTTATGTGACTCTATACAACATTAAGTGGGTATAGAAAAAGTATAAATAGACAAATATAGCGGTGATGATATTTATTTCCTATTCCTAAGTTTTGTTTGTGATTGTTGACGTTGAATCAAATAATCCCCGTCACAAACCACTTTGACACATTTATATTTGCCAAATTGTTCAAAAATCCACACCATGTTCTACGCATGGCTCGGAGGTTTTACTGCAGAACACTTGTAGATTCAAAAATATAATACAAAAGAAAACAAACTGAGGCAAACACAAAGGGATGATCCAAGTCAGGTCCTCTGGACGGTTTCTCTGGATGCTAAAGAAACCGTCCAGAGGACCTGACTTAACTTTGTTGGATGTTTCTACCTGGATTATTCAGCATGAATCAGGACAAAGGGATGATGTTAGTCGGAGAAACTGATCAACTGCCTGGGCTTTTACTACGAAGTAAACACTAGGTGTGCATGCTTAGTCTTTCTATTTTATCAAGATTAAATAATGCCTTTTTGCTGTACAGGAAAAAAAAATACAAGTATGATCATATTTTACAGCAAAATCTGGTTTTAATTGTTTTAGGTTAAAATTAATATGGGGTGCCGTTTGTAAAGTTATACAGTCAAAAATTAAGAGCAATATTTTGGTTTATTTAGCTTTTTGTAAGAAATAAAAAAGTTTTTTCCAACGTCATATTTTCACCATGTTACTGTATTCATATATTTACAAGTGTCGTAGTTCCAAACTAAATATTTAATTTACAAGCTAAATATTCAGTTTACAAACTAAATAAGTAATTTGCAAATATTTAGTTTATAAACCAAATACTTAATTAGCAAGCTAAATATTTAGTTCCATACTAAATATTTAGTTTACAAACTAAATGTTTATGTCCAAGCTAAATGTTTAATTTGCAAACTAAATATTTAACTTGCAAGTTAAATATTTTGTTAGCAAATTAAATATTTATTTTGGAAATTAAATGTTCAGTTTGGAAAATATTTAGGTCTGAGCTAAATATTTAGTTAGCAAATTTAATATTTATTTTGGAAATTAAATGTTCAGTTTGGAAAATAAACAATTAAGTCCGAGCTAAATAGCTAGTTAGCAAACTAAATAGTTGAGGAATTAAATGTTTAGGTTAAAAAGTAAATATTCAGATTTGAAAATAAATATTTAGCTTGGAAATTAAATATTTAATTTACAGCTACATATTTAGCTCACTAATTAAATATTTAACTTGCAAGTTAAATGTTTAGTTTGCAAACTAAATATTTAGTGTGGAGCTAAATATTTAGCTTGCTAACTAAATATTGAACTTGCAAGTTAAGAATTTAGTATGTAAACTAAATATTTAGCTTGTAAATCAAATATTTAGTTTGGAACTAAAATATGAATAACATGGTGAAAATATGACTTTGGAAAAAAACTTTTATTTCTTATGAAAGGCTAAATAAACCAAAATATTGCTGTTAAGTTTTGACAGTGTAACTTTACAAACGGCACCCCATAAATTAAACCGTCTCTTTGTGATCTGAGCAGGACTTGGGTCGGGTAGGACTGCAGCAACACGGCTCTTTAGAAGAAATGTTCCTGCTATGCACAGTTGGCTGACTGTTGAATGTGTAACACGTTGCCAGGAATAACACTTGACGTGACATTTGAGTGGGGTGTTGGTCTAGGACCAAAGTGGGGGTGGAGGGGTAAGTGTGTGTGAGGGAGGGAGGCAAGCTGGGTCAGATTACGACCATGGGATTGACTTTTATACGGAGTACCTGGAACGCTCGGACAGCATATTGAGAAGGAAGGCTAACAAGCTCTCCGCTCCTCTGAAACACGAAGCAGAACCAAATAAAAAAAGAAAAGAGCTCAAGGTTAGAAGCATCGTTACGCATCCAACATCACATGCAGTGTTTGATGAAACAAGAAAACTTTTCACAAAGTGGGGGGGGGGAGAAACTTCATTACGTTAGAACAATAACTGAGAATAATATTAGGCCATTTATCACAAGGCATGGTTATGTAAGGTGAAATAAAACGGTAGGAATATATAAACAAACACCGGAGAGGGTTAATGAAATTACGGTTTCTTCATAAGTCTGCAGAAGATGACTTCGGTGCGAGCGATCAATCACATGGAGAATTTCCCAGCCGAAATTAAATTACGTTGGAGCTAAATCTGTGGGGTTTCTTCCAGGGCAAATCTCACATTCTCCCATTCAAAACCTGCCCGGAGCTCCCTCAAACAGCCTCCAGCAAGCACGCACTTTTACACTTCTCTGCAGCGAGCCACTTCATTATCAGGGACGCCGTCGGTCAGAGCTCAAACAAAACGTAAGGTTTTCTCAACTTGCTGTGTGGATCGTTGCTTTGCTCCCAGCAGAGGCGCCGATCTGTCAGGGGGCTCAGCCCGGCGATCCGCAGGGACCCGACTTCAGATGAACGATCGATAACAACATGTGACATGTGTCAAGCGTATTATGTCAGCGGCTTCATTGAGCTTATTTATTTTGTGGTTGTCGGCTTCAATCACAGCGAGTTTATAAAGTCTGGGTGGGCCAGACAATAGAAACAGCTCTGCAGCAGGAGCGCTGGTCACACCTGCTGCTATTGTGCATCTTAGGAAATAACCTGAAAACCTACAGGTGGGCAACTTCAAACACCAAAGTCTGCACCTGGCATCTGAACAGAAACATTAAAATACTGGATCGTTTATAAGAGAACTATGATGGAAATACAGACTGAAGTACAGATCAATGCATTTTTTACTGATTGGTATTAGAGTTGATCCAATCGAATGTTGTTTGGATGAAGTTGCACAATGATGCAAGTATTAAACTGACTTCCCCCCTACCCCCACTGTTTTTTTTTTTAAATAGCTTGGATCAGCATCTGGGACAGTAAAACATCTTCATTGGGACATTCCTATTAATAAATACATGTTATGAAATTTAAGGTGGACATTTGTGTCCTTTGTCCACAACAAATAAACAAGAGTACCACATATGGTACATTATACGCCCATTGACAAACTATTAAACAGCAATCTATAGCAATGGCCCGGTCAAGCAAAGACCTTCAATATCCTTTGACCTTGATTTGTGACCTTGACCGTGACGATGGGAAGATGAAAAGTAACGTGACACACCGTGTAGTGGTGGTACATTATGTATCATGTTTTGTTAAATTATACTGGGCGGATGAGACGTTTTGGTCGGAGCAAGCAAAGACCTCGTTTTAAAATTGACCTTGATTTGTGACCTTGACCTTGAAGCTGGGATGATGAAAAGTAACGTGACGTCATGTAGTGGTGGTACAAAATACCACGTTTTGTTAAAATATACTGGGCGGATCAGACGTTTTGGTCGGAGCAAGCAAAGACCTTGTTTTAAATTTGACCTTAATTTGTGACCTTGACCTTGAAGCTGGGAAGATAAGTAACGTGACACGCCACGCAATGGTGGTACAAATATATATCATGTTTATTTAAATTATACTGATCAGATCAGACGTTTTGGTCCGAACAAGCAAATACCTTGTTTTAAAATTGACCTTGATTTGTGACCTTGAAGCTGGGAAGATGAGAAGTAATGTGACGCCATGTGGTGGTTGTACAAAAATATCACGTTTTGTTAAATTATACTGAGCGGATCAAACGTTTTGTTCAGAACACAGACCTAATTTTAAATTTGACCTTGATTTGTGACCTTGATGCTCTATTGATGAAAAGTATATGAGATACTTTATCTAGTGATAATTTATAGGTGTATCACGTTTAATTAAATTATCTTGTTCAGATCAGAGGTTACAGGCGGGACAAGAGGATGTTTATCTTTGGACTGGACCATAATACGTTGTCGGGCGTATAAAAAAGATCTGCGTGTATATGAGCATAAAAAGGAAGTGATCCGTTATAGAGTAAGCAATCAACATAATATAAATGTAATAAAGTGACTTGTTGATGATTTCATTCTTGTGTTTCGTCCCTCGCACTCACTCACTCACCCACACTCTGAAATGTTGGGAGGTCCCTCAGTGCCGTGGCCATCATCGCCACCATCGGCCGTCTTCGCGCCCACGGGGAATTTGCAACAGGACTGTGTTTGTGTCTGTCCGCAGGACTCCGAGCTGGGCCCGGGCCCCAGCTCCGGCCCTGAGCTGCTGGTCTGGGGTATGGTGTACACCTTGGAGGAGTCGGCGGACACGCAGTACCTGGCACCGCGGGCCAGGGGACTGCCAGAGTGGTGCGAGCCACTGATCAGACAGCAAAAACAAAGCAGAACGTAACTCAAAAAGTGACCAAAATCATAAATGACAAACGAAAGCAGAAACACAAACATGAAAGTGACATGAAACTAAAAATATGAACAAGAGTCCGCAATAAAACGTTACATGAAATGATCAGGTGTATGGAAATCTGGATGATTTTGTTTCAAAAGAATGGTTCATGAATGTCCAGCGCTTCTGCTGGTTTTGTTAGGATGACATAATCCCTTCGACGTCCCCAAGTCTTCCAACTAGTTCCCCTTTAACCCACTTCGGCAGATGACTCACTCCCAGTCCCTCATGTGAGCACTCCTGCTGAACTTTGTCCTTTCAATATTTTGTCAAATATCAAGTGACAATCCACATTTATGGGTCGGTGCGTTCAAACCAGAGAGAGGCATTCAACGCTGCGCAGAGCTTCTCAAACATCTGCTGCCGTGACCCCCCTGCTGATTTATGCTTCTCCGAGCAGAACGAGTCAAAGAACTGCACGCCTCCATGTATGTGAGCGACTGGTTGTGATTTTCTTATCAGGCTGAACTCACCCTTAAAATTAGGACCAAATGGTTAAAGGAACGTTGTTCCCAGAACTCTCATGGCTGTTGTTATACGATATAAATCACTAAATACATTTAGACAAAAGCTTTATTTGTGTAATTTGTTGTACAAGAAGAAGAACTCGGATGTCTAGGATGTAAAACTAAAATGTGAATAAAACTAAGAACTCTGTCTGCATCCTCAAACCCTCGTTTCTGCTCAAGTTTGCTTTAATAGTTAGTTTTTTTTAATAGGAAAATAAACAATTTTAGTTTTATTCCACATTAAAGGGTGCGAAAAGATTTATTTATCCACCTTAATCTGGGGGGTCTGCTGTATAAATGATTATGGGCACAACTTCCTGTCAGACAGGAAGTAGCAGTTAGCATTGGTTAACCATGGTAGCAGAGCACGGACCGCGGTTTATTTGAAAGTAATTTGCATTCCGTTTAACAGATAAAAGTCTGTTTTTGTTTTGTTTACATTTATTTAACAACCATAATGTTTACTGAAATAGCCGTGCTGAGTTCAGGTACCTATTGTGTTCACGGCTGCACGAACAACCAGACCAAACTAAATCGGTGGCTACAACAACAGAGTTTGGACCCAAAACAAAAAGAGTGTTCCTGTGAAAAGCGGTAAACCGTACTTGCCGCCGCACACGTCGTACAGCCGTATAAGTGGCATCAGTTCAAATATGTCTAATAAAGTGGAAAAAACAAAACATAAATACGTCACACTGCCGTATAGGTCACATCTATTATGCGTCACCGATGACAACTTGGAAATGTGGACCCGTTTTGTGCCAAAAATTGATTGGCTGCCAAACGGCAGCTGCGAGAGCGTGCACAGGAGGACTTTAACAAGATTAACACTTAAAAACAATTATTTTGTTTGCTCAAAATTATAGCAAAGGTGTCTCTCAGTTGAACTTTTCCTTAATAAATGCACGTTAATGGTCAAATCAGCTGCATTTCGCTGCGCCGCCCAGAAGAAATGCAGCTGATCTGATGTTTGCTCCAGGAGTTCCGGCGCAAGACGAAGGTGGCTTTGTACGGCAAGACAGGTGTCTCATTAATAACTACTTTTACCTATTAATGAGACACTTGGCTTGCCATATTAGTAAAGAGCCCTCTAGAGGCTGAAAATGGTAGTGTTCAATATTTTCCATGTCAGAATGAATGAAATAGTCAGATCTCAGCCAAAAATAGGTTTATAAACATGGGGGAAAACAAACAAGTCACTTTGCTCTATAAGTTACAGGGAATGCTAATTTATGCAAAAAAGGTACGACTTATACAGCAAAAAATACAGTAGTTTCCATCTCCTCACTACAGATGAGGAATTAAGATAAATGTGGCTGAAAAATGTGAACTTGAAGAGACCACCCAAAAATGCTGCGTGAGCTCATTTCACTTTGTTGACAAATGGCCAACAGAGGAAAACCTGCATCCTACTTTGTGTCTGGACTACAAAAAACCATCGGAGAAGAGATGCTGGATCCTCAGAAGGATTGAAAACTGTGACGAGAACATCAGGTATGATTTCAAGTGTATGGAGTTCACAGCATCATAGTATTTGTTCGTCTTCTGTATTATGATTTTCTCTGTAATTAATCCAAGATCAGTGATGGAGGACTTTAAGTCTTTGGCTGGTCTCCATGTCTGCTTTAAAGTAAATAAGATCATGGGCCACCTCTTTTAATGAAACACCACTAACCTTATTACTGTGTAGACACTAATACGCCTCAGAGCTTTTCAGGTTGTTCATCGCTTCACCGTCAGAAGAACAAAGTCAGTGAAGTAGCTAAATACGCTAGTAAATGTAGCTAAATATGCTAGTAGATGCAGCTAAATACTCTAGTAGATGTAGCTAAATATGCTAGTAGATGCAGCTAAATACACTAGTAGATGTAGCTAAATACGCTAGTAGATGTAGCTAAATACGCTAGTAGATGCAGCTAAATACTCTAGTAGATGTAGCTAAATACTCTAGTAGATGTATCTAAATACGCTAGTAGATGCAGCTAAATACGCTAGTAGATGCAGCTA